CACAAATATTGATAGATGTCTTGTAATGCACTATTGAGGAACCTGCGACCCAAGTTTTTCATTCAATGCAGAACTACACCATAGTTGTGTAGGCCTATATGATATGTCAATAAACCTTAGAAAATCTTGAAATCTTGAAAGGGATGTGCAAAATAGTCATTATATACAGTCTTTAATGAACTATTAGTAGAGAATAACGAGTAATGAATATACTTTATAGGGATCCTATTAATATCTAATAATAAAAATAATGAAATTCAATAACATGCTTTAACCACTAGGTGTCCCTTTATATCAGCTGTGCACCTTTATGGTGTAAATACAGCCTATCTACCAATTGGATCAAATATAAAAGTCAGCCGAATTAGTGTTGATACTGCAAGGAGACGTATTGTGTGAAAAGAAATGTAAGATGTTGTTTAATGGCTGATATATTTATGATCCACGTCACGTTTTCAGTTCCTCATGTTTGTCTAGAAGTCTTCTCATCAGGGCTCTATAAATACAGAACTACGGCAGATATGTAATATTTAATGCAGCCGAACCGTGTATTACAATGCCGGTATGTGATGACTTCCAAAGAGAAAAGCAAGCACACTCGGAATAAAGTATTATTATTTTTTTTTTTAATGTTTTCGGTCTGTTTCCGTTATTTGTTAATGACGATGTGCTGTGAGATGTGAGACTGGAATTGCACAGGGGAAAATAACGTAGGCTATCTTTAGATGCGGATGTTGTTAAACTAATATGTTTGCGCTGTGGACCAACACTATACATTGACGGGGAAGGGGGTAGCAATAAAGATAACACCATTAAACAGTTACACAACATAACAGAAATAATATCGATAGCAGCGTCCCTAGCAACCACCTTGGTAACAATGAAAACGTTGTATGGACACAACTTCCTGAAGTAATCTTCATAATAACTAGCAAACTAAAGATCATGTACATCCACTGCACACATAATCTGAAATAACAACTCATATTTCTCGCATCAAATGACATCGAAACGCATTTTAATGACCAAACTAACTTTAAAATAGGCATTTTCCACCGAGAATAAAACGAAGTTCTGCCATGGTTTTTTTTTCTGCAGGGAGAAATTTGAAGATCACGTGACGCCAAACAGAGCACATGGTGTAGTCCAAACGATAGCTGGGGATTCTGGGTAGTGTAGTGTCTTCTGCCATCCTTTACTCTGAAAACATATTTGTTTCTCCGAATCGAAGGGGAAAAATACAAAAGCATTGCACACAATTTAAACCAATCAATGTTGTGTAATTAACAAGGATAATCTGGTGTTTTTTAGTCGATGAGTAGTGCAGATATCACTGTAAAATCAATCCACAGTAAGGGGAATACTTACATCCGGGTGTACAATTCTCCGTTATCCAATGAGAATGGACGCTCACATTGCCTTTAAGGGCAGCCGACACAAACGAATGCCGTGCTTCCATGAGCGTCATTACCAGTATAAATACATTGCTTTTAAATCGTGCTGTGTAACACGAAAAAAAGGGGGAAATCGTGTTGGTGAACACGAATCAATAGATTAAAAATCGTGTTGGTGAACACGAAATGCCGTGAGACTGGGTTGTAATATGTGGAGATCCTGCTGAACAACACGTTTAAGTATCATACACATTTAGAATATTTTCGGCAATAATCCAAAATCACAGGGAGAAATCTGATTGGACCAGGGATATGCTGCCTTCAGGGACCTACACAGAATTACCTTTGTTCCACTTCAGTGACTGACTGCTGCTCACATGTACCTCCAGACTGACTGACAGTTAATGAAATAGTGAAGGTGGAAACAGTCGAAGTGAGAAAACAGTGGGAATTATGGATGATGAGATGAAACAGCTGGAGTAAGAAAGTCGCAGTCAGTCAGGACGGAAACAAGCCGCCTGTCAGCATTAATAGACAGAAGAGGAGGGGAACAGAGAGGATTTATGTTCAGGGCAAACAACCTGTCAGCAGCCATAACAGAGGAGACGCTCAGAAACGTACTGAGAGCTAAACCAATCATTGTGGAGAACATAATGATCTAGATCAGCGATTCCCAACCTATGGGCCACGGCCCCCTAGTGGGCAAGGTATTGCAAGTGGGCCACCAAATAATTTGCAAAACATTATGTCTTGTGTGGAAACATTTCATTATTAAGATTTGTGTGTGTGTGTGTGTGTGAGTGAGTGAGTGAGTGTGTGTGAGTGAGTGTGTGTGTGAGTGAGTGTGTGTGTGAGAGAGAGTGTGTGTGTGAGTGTGTGTGTGTGTGTGTGAGTGAGTGTGTATGTGAGAGAGTGTGTGAGAGTGTGTGTGTGAGAGAGAGAGAGTGTGTGCGTGTGTGAGTGAGTGAGTGTGTGTGTGAGAGAGAGAGAGTGTGTGTGAGTGAGAGAGAGAGAGAGTGTGTGTGTGAGAGAGAGAGAGTGTGTGAGTGTGTGAGTGTGTGTGTGAGAGAGAGAGAGAGTGTGTGAGTGTGTGTGTGAGAGAGAGAGAGTGTGTGAGAGTGGTGTGTGTGTGAGAGAGAGAGAGTGTGTGTGTGTGTGAGTGAGTGAGTGAGTGTGTGTGAGAGAGAGAGAGAGAGAGTGTGTGAGTGTGTGTGCCCACAGGAGAGAAGATGAAAGCAGATTCTGTGGAGACTTTTTTGGTGTCAGCTTTGAAGAGTAATTGAAGGCTCACTTTTAAAGAATCAGATTCTGTGTCGTCTGAAAGAAAGCTTGTGCGACTTTTTCCATTTCTTTTTGCGGATATACTTTTATCTAGAGAGTCTGACAATAAGTGCATTCAACCGTGAAGATACAAAGTCAGAACAGCGACAATTCTTCAAGTTGATCAGCTTGCAAACTGTTTTGATAATTGATGTTGGTGCTGCAGAACAGGCAGTGTGACCTTTTGAACATTAAAGCATGGAGGACTGTTACAAAAGTACAAAAATAGACCTTCAAGTTGGAGCTGATCTAAATTCCTGGCCAGATTCTGAAAAAGTTATTTATTTTCTTTAACAATGCAACTGGCAAAGATTTCGGCCTCCTTTCCAGTTGCATTTTGTGACGTTTTCGAAGGCAGAGATCAGGACTTGGTGTTTTTTCTGTGGTACAACAGACTTTCATGATTATTTGCATCTCCAAATGTTGTCCATACTTTTGTGTAGAGTCTTACAATAAGTGCATTCAACCATGAAGATAAAACAGCAACAGTTCTGCAAGTTGATCAGCTTGCAAACTGCTTCCATACTTGATGTTGGTGCTGCAGAACAGGCAGTGTGACCTTTTGCACATTATAGCATGGAGAACCATCCATCCATCTTCTCCCGCGTATCCGTGGTCGGGTCGCGGGGGTAGCAGTTCCAGCAGAGAGCCCCAAACTTTATTTTCCCTGGCGACATCAACCAGCTCTGACTGGGGGATCCCAAGGCGCTGGCATGGAGAACTGTTAATGAAATACTGACAGAAAAAGACCTTCTACATTTTGGAGCTGGTCCAAATTCCTGGCGAAATAAAAAATGTTTTATTGGCTTTGGTAAAGGTTGCAAGAAAGAGCCTTGGCAAAGACTTCGACCTCTGAATTCCTTTTTAGTTGCATTTATTGAGAGGTTTTCTAAGACATAGTTTATATCAGTATTGTATTGGTCACTTTATTGAACATGTTGGAAACAAAACAAACAACAATAATAATTATTATAACAATGAGAAGCCAAATAAAAAAATTGTTCAAGGTATAAAAAAATAACAATAATTAATTCTCAAATAGTTGACGTCATGTTCAAAAGGGGCAAGAAGCTTAAACACGTTTCTGGTCTTCCTCTAGCGTACATTGTTCATGAAAATAAAAGTTTAGGTCATCAGCATCCGTGATATTTGATTCGTTGTTTTAAGCAAATCATTTATTTGTACAAACATCCAAAAACAAATAACTTTTACAACGACAATAAATCTTGGCTTTTCTTCGTTAGAATATTCTTTCCTGATGATTTCTGTTCGCTCCTCCAAATGATTTGTATATATCTGAGACCCATAATATAAGCCTACAAATAGCGCGATTGGAGACCTTTATAGCATGGAACACTTGCAAAAATAAGACCTTGTACATTTTGGAGCTGATCCAAGAGATTAAAACAATTGTCCTTTGCTTTCGTAAAGGTTTCAGCAAAGAGCCTCTGAGTTTTTCTTATTGGTCTTTTTCTGCGGTAGAATATTCTTTCCTGATGATTTCTGTTCGCTCCTTTCTGTCCCGCTTCTCCGAATGTTGTCCCTACTTGTAGGAGCCAAAATGCTACTTAGCCTGAGTTTATTATTTGTATTATTATTATTATTTGTTAATGTCACTTTTATTTGTTGAGCACTTCCGGCAATCGTCACATGGGTGTGGTTTGTGTTGAACTGTTTTCTGTAGACCGTTTTGGTCCTAAGAAGTTAAAAGGCTTTTTGATTTTGTTTCTTCAAACAAACGATATCTTCAACCTTTCAAACCTCAGTATGGACTTTCTCATTGAAAACGCGTCGCAGCATAAAGCCAAACTCAGCCTCTTGGGACTCAAAGTTAAAGTTCTCCTATCATGAAAAATTCACTTTTTGATGTCTTTTATACCTAAATATGTGTCCCCAGTGTGTCAGGGAACTCTTTCCTAAAGGTTTCAGGAGAGAGCCTTGGCAGAGAGCCTCTGAGTTCAATGCATAGTTCAGATCTTGGCCTTTCTCTGCGGTTCGAACATACTTTCCTGATGATTTCTGTTTGCTGCATCTCCAAAGTTGACCCCTACACCTTTGCCTCGTCACATATCTTCTTCTCCTCCTCCTTAGATATCCTCAGATATGTTCAGCCATGTTCAAAAGGGGCAAGAAGAAACTTTTCTGGTCCAACCTCCTCTAGCATTAATTGTGGTAGAATATTCTTTCCTGAAGATTTATGTTCGCTCCTTTCGGTCCTGCTTCTCCACATGGCTCGTCCCTTCACCTTTGCCTCGTCACATATCTTCTTCCTCTCCTCCTCCTCAGATATCCGCGGGCTGCAGGGCTTCCTGGACCAGACGTCTCGGCGCGGCATGGACGTGGCTCTGCAGCGCGTGGACAGGAACATCAGCCAGGTGTTCAGCAGCCTGTTCAGCTCCATGAGGACGGAGGAGCTGAACAGATACCGAGACACTCTGAGGAGAGCTATCCTGCTGCTGAGCCCCCACGGAGCACACACCTTCATCCAGCAGGTCGGTCCTCACGCTGTGTGGTGTGCATGTATGTATGTGTGGGTGTGTGTTTTTGTGTGTGTGTGGTTTCACTAACGTATTGATGAAGTACTACATGGCATGTATGCACACATAAGGATCAAGAGATGTGTGTGTGTGTGTGTGTGTGTGATGGCAAAAGACAAAACGTGTGTTAAGGGAACAGATGGATATATATGGGTTGAAGAATTGACCGGTTGGTTGTTGTACGATTACGTATGAGCACGTTAGGGGACACGTGAGCCTATAAAGAAAGTAAAAATGTACGCCGTAAGTTACTTCTCCTAACTGTACAAAGGAAACAAGGAGGTGTATCAAGGGAGCACTTGCATATATGGAAGAAACGTGACTTAGTTCAAAGGGAACAAGTGATCCTTGTGAAGGAAATGTGTGAGTGTCCATATGGAAATAATGACTGTACATAGAATGGGAACATGTATTGATTGATTGAGTTATTGATTGACTGAAGATTAAACTTGTTTGATTTGTCGAAAGCCAACACAAAAATGGCAAACACAGTTTGCACCAAATGTAATTGACAGTTTATAAAATGAACTTGATTTAATTTGTTAGACCAGACTGAGAACAAGAGAACAAGTGAGTCTGTTAAAACAAGCCTGAGTAAACAAGGAAGAATTGAGTGTACATGCAGTAGGAAAACAAACGTGTGTGTGTGTGTGTGAGAGAGAGTGAGTTAAAGAAACAAATGTGTGTGAAGAGATTCAGAGTGAGCATCAAAATCTGTCTGTGTGTCCAGGCCAAGCGGCAAACTGTGGGGAACAGCCGGGAAGCCAATACGGAAGTGCCACACACTGCAGTTCATATATTGGCCGATAGGCGATGGCTGCAGAAAGGAGCAATTTCCATAGACCCCCATGTTAACATGCCCAACTTTACAGCAGAAAAAAACATGTTTCTACCCCTGGCTCCATACATTTTATTATCGATATAGTTAGATTCCACCTTCATGATTATGGATCTGTGAGTGAATTGTTTTCTAACGCGACCCTTTATATTTATATTAGGTCTTAAAGTTTGTGCATACATTAGGGCGTGGTCACTTTGATTGACAGATACGTGCCTCACTGTCAGCTAACAGCAACTTGTCCAATCTGCTAGGCTACAACCATAGAGGCTACAACGTTAGTTAGTTGTAGTTACTGTACTTGATCCTTTAGCCGTGTTCGTGGTGATCGTGCCTGTTAGGGAATATTGTTACAAATACCAGATAATTAAAATGTCGTGCTGTGCGCTTGAATGTACTAACAGAACTTCCAAGAAGTCTACTTTCAGCTTTTTTCGGTGAGTAAAATGATAATATTATACATGTTAACCCCGTTAGCAGGTGTTTGTGTGCTTGTTAGCTTAGCCTGTTATGTAGCTTATTAGCCAGCTAAGGACGTAACCCTTTATACATATATACAGTTTAGTTTATGATTCAGCCTTGGGTAAGACTTTTATACTATATGGCTATGACGCCCATAATGCTAAACGGGAGCAAATGTTAAAAGGGGTGGGCTGCCGGAGTCCACGCCGCCGAAGCTAACGGGGCTGCAGGGTGCTAGCTCGCTAGCGCGTCCCGGCGGCCGTAGCTAGCACCCTGGGGCTCCGTTAGCTTCGGCCAGCGGCGGAGTCCGGCGTTCTAACTGGAGATCAAGGAATGCATCGTAACGCGGACTTGGTTCGCCTGCAGCCCGCTGTAGTATTAGCTAAATAAATGATGTTGAGCAAGGCTTATTAAGCTGAACACCGCCACAATTATTCTGCTATGTATCGGTACTTATTTTATTTTATTAACGTGTGAATGACAAGCATTAAGAATAATACCAAATAGCTAATTATCTTGCAGATTGTCTCGTTTGATTATGAATGTAACGTTTATATAGTGGAACTACACTGTTTTATCAAAACCAAAGTGCCACGCAGTGACTTGGTATGCATGTATTTCAGCAGGAAATGTGCAACCTAGATGACATTTACCAACACAGACTATATAGAAATATTTGTAAAAGTTGTTCATGCGTTACTAAGTGAATATGGCATTAACCCTCCTGTTGTCTTCGGGTCAAATCTGACCGATTTACTACTTTCATCAATCATGTTTACATTCGATTGATACTGAGAGCATGTTAGCTTAGCTTCTTAGCCTGAGCTAGGACTCGAACGTCACGCTCGTTGGCAGCAGGTCCCGCCCTGTCCCGCCTCGGCTCCGCCTGAGCTCCGCCTCTTTGCCCTTATTTGGAGAAGGCGGGAGTTAGACTCTGACGACACCGTCGAGCCGTTAGTGGCCGACTCCGCCTACTAAGGGCTTCACGGCAACTCTGCAGAATCCTATGGGTGACGTCACGGACCCTACGTCCATTTATATATACAGTCTATGGTCCAGGCTTTCTGTCCATTAACACATTGATGATCCGTGTGTGCGTGTGCGTGTGTGCCAAGGTGTGAGTGGCCACCTGGAATGACAGATGGATCACACGCACACACACACACACACACACACACGGAAGCTTTTCCAAGGCTATGCTGGGTTTTGCTCGATGTTAATTAGCATTTTTCGTCCTGAGTGCTCTCTATGGATGACACTGATTTCCATTCTATTTGTTTACGTTTCACAATTTTGAGAATAAGTTACTTACAATCTTGGCTTCCTGATAGCAGAGGTGGGAAGTAGTGGAGTACAAATACTTTGTTACTGTACTCAAGTACATTTTCTGGTATCAGTACTTTACTCCACAACTTTGTAATTATACTTCTTACATGTTGAACTCAAATACCTGTACTTTCTACTTCTTACATGTTGAACTCAATTACCTGTACTTTCTACTTCTTACATGTTGAACACAAATACCTGTACTTTCTACTTCTTACATGTTGAACACAAATACCTGTACTTTCTACTTCTTACATGTTGAACACAAATACCTGTACTTTCTACTTCTTACATGTTGAACACAAATACCTGTACTTTCTACTTCTTACATGTTGAACTCAAATACCTGTACTTTCTACTTCTTACATGTTGAACCCAAATACCTGTACTTTCTACTTCTCACATGTTGAACTCAAGTACCTGTACTTTCTACTTCTCACATGTTGAACTCAAATACCTGTACTTTCTACTTCTTACATGTTGAACTCAAATACCTGTACTTTCTACTTCTTACATGTTGAACTCAAATACCTGTACTTTCTACTTCTTACATGTTGAACACAAATACATGTACTTTCTACTTCTTACATGTTGAACACAAATACCTGTACTTTCTACTTCTTACATGTTGAACACAAATACCTGTACTTTCTACTTCTCACATGTTGAACACAAATACCTGTACTTTCTACTTCTTACATGTGGAACTCAAATACCTGTACTTTCTACTTCTCTCATTTTCCAAACAGCTGGTTCCTTTAGTCTGAATGTGTGTTTGATGCGTGATCATTATTCTTTAGAGTCATTGCGTGCCTATTGATTTGAACACGATCCGTGTATCCATCATTTCCTGGTCTTCTCTAAAGAAGAGGGACCAATGGAAACGTTGTCATGTTGCCGTTGTTCAGCATGGAAACATTCATTAGCTAACAATGACATTATTGTTCTATTAATATAAAGGGAGGTCAGGTACTCTTTAAAACGATAGTTACGTATGTAACTACGGTTCTATGAATACTGGATGACCGCCAGAGGCGGTGCTTTAGCACTGGATATCTTCCGTCTCGCGCATTCGTAGGTCAAATATTTATATCAACAAAGTCACGTGTGACCTCGTATGACCCCGGAAGCAGTGGCGTAGCGGAGGCCCCGGAGCTTAGGGGGCCCCGCCCCCACTGTAGGCTATCCTCTTAGATTTGTTGGAATGAGCGAAGTTGCACAGCGATTGTCTTTTCTGCTTCCCCGCAAACTTTTGCACGCAACAGACAAGGATCTGTCTGAGTCCGCAAGTGCTTTATCAGGCCAGTATATATAAAGACGACCTGTCAGCAGAGTTTCCTTTCCAGATCCTGTCCCTCCGTAATGCTCTTAGGCCTACTATAAAGAAAATTGAGCGTGGAACAATCAAAGACCTTGCACAAACCCTGCTCATTGAAAATCAGTCCATTTTGCCAAGTATCCCCGATATTGCCACAGCACTGAAATTGTTTTTAACTATACCCGTGACTGTTGCCAGTGCTGAGAGATCTTTCTCAAAACTTAAATTAATAAAGACATATTTGAGGAGCACAATGTCGCAAGAGAGACTGTCTGGGTTAGCAGTCCTTAGTATTGAGAGCCGACGCGCGCGCAGTATAGATTTAAAGACTGTCATACAGGACTTTGCGCAGAAGAATGCCAGGAGACGAACTCTTATAAATAAATAGGCCTACCAAGCAGCTCCTGATTGCATCCTCTATGTAGCCTATAGGATGTGTTTTATTTGTTTGTTTTTTGTAGGCTACTTTTCTTTTATAGAGAATGTTATATATATGTGAACCGTTCCGTTGTGTGAACTCCAATGATGATAGGCTATAACGTTCTACAATATACCTTCGTGTTACAAAAAATACACAGCCACTTGTTTGTAATTTGTCAATGATGTTTAAATCAGATGTATATTAATATACAGTTCCTACTGACCTTACTGTTTAAATCAGATGTATATTATACAGAAAGTTCCTACTGACCCTATACTGTTTAAATCAGATGTATCTTTATACAGAAAGTTCCTACTGACCTATAGGCCTACTGTTTACAAAAGATGCCTGAAAAAATAAACATTTAAAAAAGTGGCCGCGATGTCTATCCCATGTCACTCTATTATTGATTTAGGGCAGGGGGCGGGGCCCCATGGTCCGACCTGCGGGGGAGCCCCGAAATATTGCGCAACGCCACTGCCCGGAAGGCATAAGTTCCGGTGTTGTCAACGAGTTCAGTCCTATGGAATCTTCTCGCGGAAATACGAGATTCCGAGTGACCAAGAAACTCTGGCGGTCATCCAGTATTCATAGAACCGTAGTTAAATACGTAACTATCGTTCTATTTCATCCTTACTGACCGCAAGAGGCGGTGCTTTAGCACTGGATGACCTATACCAACAGAGTCACAAGGAAGTCTGAATACTCCCCCTGCTATAAGGATGGCCTAGGCTGACTCTGCAGGAGGACCACACCCAGCGGGTGAGGGGCAGCAACATTCACCCTGTAGTATCTGGCGAATGTGCTCTAGGATGCCCATGTGGCCGCAGCACTATGTCCTTGCACCTTAGGGAGGAACGCTGTGTTCGGCCATAAGGTGACACCTGAGCCATCTGAGTTCCACCTCAGACACGAGCTGTTCACGGACAAGGCCTGAAGCTCGCTTACACTCTTTGCTGAGGTGATGGCAAGAAGGAAAGCAGTCTTAGATGAGAGCCACTCCAGTTCTGCCTGTAACAAAGATTCAACAGGAGGCAAGCATAGGGCATCCAGCACCAAGGGCAGGTCCCATGTAGGGGCCCTTGGGATATTCGGGGGGGGGGGCGAAGCCTCAGAGCTCCCCCTTAAAAAGAGGGATACCAACCTATGGCTCCCACTGTGCTGTTGTCAGCCCTTGTGTGTTGAGCTGATATAGCAGCCAAATACACCCTGACGGTAGTGGGACACTGGTCATCGTCCAGGAGGGACTGCAGGAACTCAGGCATTTGAGAATAGTCTTCCTGACAGACTCTATGCAGTCGCTCAGCAGTGGGTCGGGCCCCTCCAGTGGCCAGACCCACAGCTGGGGTCGGGGTGCCACATCCGACCCTCCAACTGAGACAAGAGGTCCTTCCTGTTGGGGCGACGCCAAGGCGTCCCACAGCAGAGTCTGTGCAGCAGATGGACAGGCCCGCACCTCGCTGGGTTAAACAAGGAAGTTTAACAGGACAGCCAGGCGGCTCCTGCTAGAATCAAGCAACACGCCTACCAGGAGCGGGGGCGAGAACACTGCCTTCACTGGTTGAGTTGATAACGAATTCCAGATGCAGCGTAACCGGGAGAGGGTGCAAGAACACAGCCTCCACTAGCTACCTGCTGAACGTAAAGACTAGAGCAATGCTCCTACACGCCGAACACAGATAGGGATGTAAATGTCCTACACCACGTTACCAGCAGAGAGAGCGGGAGCGAGCACTGCATTCACCTAGGTGGATTAGATAAGGAAATTTAACAGGGCAGTTTAGCCAGGCAGCTGCTACTAGAATGAAGCAGCGCGTCTACCAGGAGCGGGGGCGAGAACACCGCGCTCACTGGTTGAGTTAATAACGAATGCCAGATGCAGCGTAGGCGGGAGCGGGGTGCGAGAACACAGCCTTCACCAGCTACCTGCTGAACGGAAAGAGTAGAGCCTACTCGCCGAACACAAAAGGGATGTAACTACACCCATGTTACCAGCAGAGGGAGCGAGAGCACTGCCTTCACCTAGCTGGAAAAAAAAGAAGTTTCAACAGGACAGCCTATCCAGTCGGCTGCTGCTAGAATAAAGCATCACGTCTACCAGGAGTGGGGGCGAGAACACTGATTTAGCTGGTTGAGTGACTGTGTCCAGAGCCACCCCCATGAAGGTTAGGCTCTGAGAGGGGTTCAGACAACTGTTCTCCATGTTCACCATGAGGCCTAGCCGGGCGACATGAGAGAGAAGGAGAGCCGTGTCCTGGATCGTCTGTAACCGGGATGGTGCACAGATTAACCAGTCGTCTAAGGAGAGGGAGAGTCCGAATGGAACACCCTGAACTGGAAATGACGGCCTCTGAAGGCAAAGCGAATAAACTGCCTGTGATGAGGCAAAATACGCACATGAAAATAAGCGTCCTTCAAGTCGACGGACGTGAACCATTCCCCCTGGCCACGGTACAAAGAACGTCCGCTGTGCTCAGCACATGGAAAGGTAAAATCTTTAGGAACTTGTTGAGTTCCCTCAGATTGAGGATTAGGCGAAGTCCACCGCCTTTCTTCCATACCAGGAAGTAGGTCGAGTAGAAGCCGGGGGCTGTGAGATGGGGTCCACAGGCTCGATTGCACCCTTGGCAAGGACTGACAGCTCCTGGTTTAGGGCGATTTATTTTGCCAGGTCGCTTATGGTGGTCATCTTGACCCGGCTGAAGACTGGGGGCCAGCATCGGAACTGAAGCTTGTACCCATGGGTTAGGTGGAAACCACCCAGGGGTCTGAAGCTTGAGCTACCCGGTAGTTGAGCTGCTGCTGGGAGAGATAACCAACAGCCGGCCCCAGACCCTCAGTACCTTGCCCCCCGGCCTCTGGCTCTGGGGGGGCGATGGTTAGGCACCGGATACCGAGGCTGCCTTGGGGGTGAGTTAACAGGACCGTAGCAGGTCAGCCCCCTCGTGGGGCGCTGAGTCCCATGGCGGGCACCGGGGTGAGCCGGTGGACGGAGAGTCCTACATGTCTCTGATAAGGGTGACTGTGTCAGCCAAACCTAGCGACGAGTCTGGACGAGAGTAGACATCAGGCGCCCAAGCTCTCTAGACATCAGAGCGAACGCCTGTAAGGAGGCATCACTGAGGCTGGTAGAGGAAGCGCTAAGAGCATCCTGCTGCGGGGAAGCTGAGAGGGCGAGCATGAGGTGAGAGAGGGAATTGCCTATACGGCCCATGCGCTCCGCTGCATCGTAAGCCTTAGTGAGCAGGTCATCAGTGACCCGACATTGGAGTCGAGGGCACCTGGTCTCCGACCTCAGAGCTTCGTCAGGGGAAACTATGAGGGAAGCAATGGTAGGCTCAACAGCCGGCGTGTGGTCAAGGCCAACTCTTGCCGCATCCTGCATGGCTGCCAGGGCTCGGCCATCGGACGCAAGACTGTAAAGAGCCTTAGTGTCCTCCAGCATGCATGTAACTCCCTCAGATACTCACAAGAGGGAGGAACAGTAAAGGTTGCGAAGAGTGCGCCTAAAGAACACACTGGCAGACGCTGTTTCGGGCTGCTGCGCATCCAGCTGCTGGTGAGCCAGTGCCATGGAGCCGTCATCTGCCTCCTCCAAGGGACCATGAGCTGAGGTTCAGGAGCCAGGCCCAGAAGCATGGGATGGGCTCTCACCGTCATACTCATCAAATTGAGTGGCCAAAGCTGCCATCGAGAACACATCGTCCTCTAGAACCAGCTCAGCCACGGGTGGGCAGCGGCGTGCTCTGCACGGGCACCAGAATGGAGAGCCAAGAGGAGTGACTTCATCTGGGCAAGCTCAGTAGTCCACCCTGGAGGACAGCCTATCAGGCTTAGTCCTCTTCTTGGGCGGGGCACCCGCAGCCTCTGCGGTCCAACGCCTAGGATGGGTAGGTGGGCTGTGCAGAGTCGACTGTGCAGGGGGAAGGCCAGCCTCAGTCAGTAGTTCAACCTCGGCGAGTCTAGCAGCTCCTACCGCACGAGGCATGATGGTGCAGTTCATGCACGGGTCCTCCGAAAGGCCCTCCCTCAGATGCTCGAGGCCAAGACAAGAGGGGCAAAGGTCATGGCCATCCTCTGGTTAAAGAGGAGCCATACAGGTGTTAGAGCCGTTAGACCTAGCGATAGCTAGAGCACTCGGCTGACTGTAAATAACTGGGCCAGAAAACAAATATGCAGTGGAGGGGAGTGAGCACAATAGTAGTTAGCTTGAGCGTGAGCACTCTGCTAACTGGGGTGAGAACAATGAAGTCAGTTAATGGTTTTATGCCGTGAGAGGAGAGCGAGAATACTCTCTCCACTAGCGCCGTAGCATGTTAGCCTAAGCGAGAGCACTCTGCTAACTGAAGGATGGAACGGGCATTAAACCAACTGTGTGCAGTGAGAGGGGAGCGGAAACACTCTCTTCACTAGCGCTGAAGCAAGTTAACTTTGAGCGACAGCACTCAGTTAACTGGAGGATGGAACAGGAACCAACTGTGAGCAGGGAGAGGGGAGCGGAAACACTCTCTTCACTAGCGCTGTAGCAAGTTAAAGTGGACCCATCATGCTATATTTGAATAATATAGTGTAGGACCATACCTATATAAGGCATATTTATACTTTTTATTTTTCAAAATACCAAACAGATCATGCTGATGGGCGATTCTGTGAGAACAGCACCATCTACAGGCCTGGCATATGTACTACAGCGTCTCCAGCGCTTTCAAACGGCAATGACCGTGGCTGTCTCCTCCTGATTGGTGGAGTTGGCCCAATAGCCGTAGCACCACTTCTGTGACGTCATATAAGTGTTCAAATCTGGATCAGTCTGTATCAGATCCGTTGCAGCCCCTTTTTAAGGGATTTGGGTATGGAGGAAAAGAGAGAGGGTTGTGTTTTCTGACACTTGGTGAGTTCCCTGGAACACCGGGACACATATTCATGTATAAAAGACGTACAAAAGTATATTTTGCATGATAGGTCACCTTAACTTTGAGCGAGAGCACTCAGTTAACTGGAGGGTGGAACAGGAACTAATTGTGTGCAGGGAGAGGAGAGCGGAAACACTCTCTTCACTAGCGCTGTAGCAAGTTAACTTTGAGCGAGAGCACTCAGTTAACTGGAGGATGGATGCACTTTATATGTCGTTGCCACTCCTTGCATATCATGTATTTTGTTTTTTACCATGTTTGTAAAATGTAATTTCCTTAAATGTTTTATGTGAGGGAATGGAAAGTAGCTCAAAGCTAAATCTGGCACTGTTACGCTTGACATATTTAAATGTCTTACGTGTTCATTACAGTGCATGTCCCTGTCAAATAAACGATTAAATAAAATAATCAATTGTGCGCCGTGAGAGGGGAGCGAAGACACTCTCCTCACTAGCGCTGTAGCAAGTTAGCTTTGAGCGAGAGCACTCAGCTAACTGGGGATAGAACAGGAACTAATTGTGAGCTGTGAGAGGGGAGCGGAGACACTCTCCTCACTAGCGCTGTAGCAAGTTAGCTTTGAGCGAGAGCACTCAGCTAACTGGGGATAGAACAGGAACTAATTGTGAGCTGTGAGAGGGGAGCGGAGACACTCTCCTCACTAGCGCTGTAGCAAGTTAGCTTTGAGCGAGAGCACTCTGCTAACTGGGGATAGCACAGGAACTAATTGTGAGCTGTGAGAGGGGAGCGAAGACACTCTCCTCACTAGAGCCGTAACGGTTCGCTTGAACGAAAACACTCAGCTAACTGGACAATATAATAGGCAAGGAACCAAATGTATGTAGTGAGAGGGGGGCGGAGACGCTCCCTTCACTAGCGCCGTAAGTTAGCTTGAACGAAAACACTCAGCTAACTGGACGATAGAACAGGCAAGGAACCAAATGTATGTAGTGAGAGGGGGGCGGAGACGCTCCCTTCACTAGCGCCGTAAGTTAGCTTGAACGAAAACACTCAGCTAACTGGACGATAGAACAGGCAAGGAACCAAATGTATGTAGTGAGAGGGGGGCGGAGACGCTCCCTTCACTAGCGCAGTAACACATTAGCGACAGCCCCCGGCTAACTTGTACACAGTTATCTCATTAGCTTGAGAATAGATAGCACAATCAGCGATCAATGGTAGCGATCTCACCGGCTGACGTGCAGGAGTGTCCGCTCTTTACCGGTCCGGAGCTCCTAGGGTCCGAGCGGTGAACACCGTGGTCCCCTCCCTTGGGAGAGTGGACAGCTAGCTCGTCGCAGCCTTTGGAGGGCGAGCGTTTTCCTAGCCCGCAGCTCCGATCGAGACGATCACAAGGCTACAGGTAGCGATGAGCTAGAATCTTAATTTTCAATGAGCTAGCTTGGCTTCTACTCAAAAAGTAGTAACCTGCGCAGCGAGAAGATGAAAAAGGACTGAACTCGTTGACAACACCGGAACTTATGCCTTCCGGGGTCATACGAGGTCACACGTGACTTTGTTGATATAAATATTCGACCTACGCATGCGCGAGACAGAAGATATCCAGTGCTAAAGCACCGCCTCTGGCGGTCAGTAAGGATGAAATAGAACAGCTGCTAGTTATGCGTACTTTTTACTGAAGTACACTTCAAAGTTCTTTACTTTGACTTGAGTAAAGAAGTTTAGTCAGTACTTCTACTTTCACCAGAGTATTTTTAAACACGAGTATCTGTACTTCTACTTGTTTGTACTTTTGCCCTCTCTGCCTGCTAGCGTTAGCCGCCGACGTGTGTTTGTGTTTCCATGCGTGTCTACAGGAAGCCCAGAGGGACAAACTGCGAAGGCAAAGTGACCCTGCAGCGCTGCGTGTTCCCGTGGTAACTCAACCGCTGACTTTCAGAGGAGCGTGTGTGTTGTGTGTTGTGTGTTGTGCATATACCAGAAAGGTGTGTTTGTTTTGCAGACTTGAAAGGGATTAAGTGAGAGCTCACAGTTCAGAGAGCATTCACAACAAAACATAAACGGACAGCTATGCAGCCATCGAGGGGAACAAGAGACATTGAGTCAAGATTTAAAGGCTTTGTTTACTATTTATTTATATAAAATAGAAAAGGCGCAGTTTTTATTAATAAAAATCCAAAATGAAAACAGGCTCTTCTAATCATGCAACACACATTATCCTGAGGCATGGGAGATGAAGAAATACAGCTGTGCAAAAGTAAATTACAGATACTAGATGTATGGCAGATTCTATTTACACCCAGGTTCCTATAGTCAACAATGTTATTTCTGTGTGTGTGTGTGTGTTTTTTTTTACTTATTTAGCTCCAGTGTTATAGTGTGTATAACTCAACCACTGCTGTTCCAGACACACACACACACACACACACTAACCTCATTCATATTGACATCCTGAGTTTCTCTCTAACACATATCTACCTGTCAGAAGTGTGTGTGTGTGTGTGTGTGTGTGTGTGTGTGTGTGTGTGTGTGTGTGTGTGTGTGTGTGTGTGTGTGTGTGTGTGTGTGTGTGTGTGTGTGTGTGTGTGTGTGTGTGTGTGTGTGTGTGTGTGTGTGTGTGTGTGTGTGTGTGTGTGTGTGTGTGTGTGTGTGTGTGGTGTGTGTGTGTGTGTGTGTGTGTGTGTGTGTGTGTGTGTGTGTGTGTGTGTGTGTGTGTGTGTGTGTGTGTGTGTGTGTGTGTGTGTGTGTGTGTGAGCTATGTTTCCATGGCAGCAGCTTTAAGTATTACTGTGGCTCTCTCTCTTCATCTGACTTCTGAGAACAGACAGTGTTTTTCTATAGCTCAATAAACTAAGTACTTTTGATGCCTAACCCTAACCGCTTTAAAGAGTCCTCTCCTGCTGATGTTCAGGTGTATATCAGTATGTAGTGTCTCTACTTTAAAGAGTCCTCTCCTGCTGATGTTCAGGTGTATATCAGTATGTAGTGTCTCTACTTTAAAGAGTCCTCTCCTGATGATGTTCAGGTGTATATCAGTATGTAGTGTCTCTACTTTAAAGAGTCCTCTCCTGCTGATGTTCAGGTGTATATCAGTATGTAGTGTCTCTACTTTAAAGAGTCCTCTCCTGCTGATGTTCAGGTGTATATCAGTATGTAGTGTCTCTACTTTAAAGAGTCCTCTCCTGCTGATGTTCAGGTGTATATCAGTATGTAGTGTCTCTACTTTAAAGAGTCCTCTCCTGCTGATGTTCAGGTGTATATCAGTATGTAGTGTCTCTACTTTAAAGAGTCCTCTCCTGCTGATGTTCAGGTGTATATCAGTATGTAGTGTCTCTACTTTAAAGAGTCCTCTCCTGCTGATGCTCAGGTGTATATCAGTATGTAGTGTCTCTACTTTAAAGAGTCCTCTCCTGCTGATGTTCAGGTGTATATCAGTATGTAGTGTCTCTACTTTAAAGAGTCCTCTCCTGCTGATGTTCAGGTGTATATCAGTATGTAGTGTATCTACTTTAAAGAGTCCTCTCCTGCTGATGTTCAGGTGTATATCAGTATGTAGTGTCTCTACTTTAAAGAGTCCTCTCCTGCTGATGTTCAGGTGTATATCAGTATGTAGTGTCTCTACTTTAAAGAGTCCTCTCCTGCTGATGTCCAGGTGTATATCAGTATGTAGTGTCTCTACTTTAAAGAGTCCTCTCCTGCTGATGCTCAGGTGTATATCAGTATGTAGTGTCTCTACTTTAAAGAGTCCTCTCCTGCTGATGTTCAGGTGTATATCAGTATGTAGTGTCTCTACTTTAAAGAGTCCTCTCCTGCTGATGTTCAGGTGTATATCAGTATGTAGTGTCTCTACTTTAAAGAGTCCTCTCCTCTGATGTTCAGGTGTATATCAGTATGTAGTGTCTCTACTTTAAAGAGTCCTCTCCTGCTGATGTTCAGGTGCATATCAGTATGTAGTGTCTCTACTTTAAAGAGTCCTCTCCTGCTGATGTTCAGGTGTATATCAGTATGTAGTGTCTCTACTTTAAAGAGTCCTCTCCTGCTGATGTTCAGGTGTATATCAGTATGTAGTGTCTCTACTTTAAAGAGTCCTCTCCTTCTGATGTTCAGGTGCATATCATTATATAGTGTCTCTACTTTAAAGAGTCCTCTCCTGCTGATGTTCAGGTGTATATCAGTATGTAGTGTCTCTACTTTAAGAGTCCTCTCCTGCTGATGTTCAGGTGTATATCAGTATGTAGTGTCTCTACTTTAAAGAGTCCTCTCCTGCTGATGCTCAGGTGTATATCAGTATGTAGTGTCTCTACTTTAAAGAGTCCTCTCCTGCTGATGTTCAGGTGTATATCAGTATGTAGTGTCTCTACTTTAAAGAGTCCTCTCCTGCTGATGTTCAGGTGTATATCAGTATGTAGTGTATCTACTTTAAAGAGTCCTCTCCTGCTGATGTTCAGGTGTATATCAGTATGTAGTGTCTCTACTTTAAAGAGTCCTCTCCTGCTGATGTTCAGGTGTATATCAGTATGTAGTGTCTCTACTTTAAAGAGTCCTCTCCTGCTGATGTCCAGGTGTATATCAGTATGTAGTGTCTCTACTTTAAAGAGTCCTCTCCTGCTGATGCTCAGGTGTATATCAGTATGTAGTGTCTCTACTTTAAAGAGTCCTCTCCTGCTGATGTTCAGGTGTATATCAGTATGTAGTGTCTCTACTTTAAAGAGTCCTCTCCTGCTGATGTTCAGGTGTATATCAGTATGTAGTGTCTCTACTTTAAAGAGTCCTCTCCTCTGATGTTCAGGTGTATATCAGTATGTAGTGTCTCTACTTTAAAGAGTCCTCTCCTGCTGATGTTCAGGTGCATATCAGTATGTAGTGTCTCTACTTTAAAGAGTCCTCTCCTGCTGATGTTCAGGTGTATATCAGTATGTAGTGTCTCTACTTTAAAGAGTCCTCTCCTGCTGATGTTCAGGTGTATATCAGTATGTAGTGTCTCTACTTTAAAGAGTCCTCTCCTTCTGATGTTCAGGTGCATATCATTATATAGTGTCTCTACTTTAAAGAGTCCTCTCCTGCTGATGTTCAGGTGTATATCAGTATGTAGTGTCTCTACTTTAAAGAGTCCTCTCCTGCTGATGTTCAGGTGTATATCAGTATGTAGTGTCTCTACTTTAAAGAGTCCTCTCCTGCTGATGTTCAGGTGTATATCAGTATGTAGTGTCTCTACTTTAAAGAGTCCTCTCCTGCTGATGTTCAGGTGTATATCAGTATGTAGTGTCTCTACTTTAAAGAGTCCTCTCCTGCTGATGTTCAGGTGTATATCAGTATGTAGTGTCTCTACTTTAAAGAGTCCTCTCCTGCTGATGTTCAGGTGTATATCAGTATGTAGTGTCTCTACTTTAAAGAGTCCTCTCCTGCTGATGTTCAGGTGTTTATCAGTATGTAGTGTCTCTACTTTAAAGAGTCCTCTCCTGCTGATGTTCAGGTGTTTATCAGTATACTGTCTCTACTTTAAAGAGTGTTTATTTGTTAACATCTCCATGACATTTTTGAAAGAGCAACTTCCATTCAGCTCGATCTCACCCTCCCACACACTGTCATGTCCCGCTGCTAATGAATGTGTCAGCGTCAAGACAATGACAAAGACACACACACACACACACACACACACACACACACACACATACACACACATACAACACACACACACACACACACACACACACACACACACACACAGTAGCAGGTTCTTCACACCTTTAGCTGAGTGAGATTTCTGCCTCCTCACTTCCCTAATTGGTCTTTCACACCTTGGTTCCTTCCTTCTTATCTCCTCCACTTTTCTTCTTTCCTTTCAACAAATATGTCTCCTCTCCCTTTCTTTGTGTCCTTTCCTCCTTATTTCCTTCCTTCCATCATTACTTACTTACTTATATACTTCATTATATACCCACTCACTTCCATCCTTCATTCCTTCCTTCCTTTCTTCCTTCCTTCCGTACTTACTTGCCTACCTACTTATATACTTCCTTCTATAATTACTAATGTCCTTCCGTCCTTCAATCATTACTTACTTACTTGTGATACTTATACTTCCTTATATAATTACTGATGTCCTTCCTTCCTTTCTGATTTACCTACTTACTTATGTACTTCCTTCCTTCCCTTGTATCCTTCTTATCTCCTTCCCTTGTATCTTACCTTACTTTCTACTCCCTGCTTTAGTCCCTCCTTCCTTCTCATCTCCAAATCACAATTCTGTCTTCTTTACTTTTTATTTTATATACTTTCCTCCTTCCTTTCCTCCTTCATTCTTTCCGTCCTCACGTACTCCCCCACGTACTTATTTTCTTTCCTACTCTTCGTGTGACCTCTACAGTTAGCGTAACGTTCGAAGACAGTCTGTAAAGTACAGCTTCAGATTCACAATATGAAACCCATCTGGTGGGAACTCATTGGGATTAAACTCTTTAAAGTCTTCCTGTCTCTCGCCCTGTGTCCTAATCGTTGTTAATCACCAGGATGTGTCTCCCGTGAGG